TGCGACTCTTTCTTCTTTCTTGATGGAGATTGAAATTTTTTACGTAGAGGATCCCTATTTGATGAGACCCAGTTACGGGAAGCTTTTCACCGACCTACCTGTTCTGTTTTATGTGTTATTGAAGGCGGTAGTTCGTTTCACCGAGTTTAGTTTTCTGTTAACCCCTCATTTATTACCAGAGTCATCATTTTTACTGGACTTTCAGGAATTGGAAGGTGACTCTTTCTTCTTTTCTGATGGAGATTGAAATTCTTTGTAAATTGATCCCTATTTCACTAGCCCCAGTTAAGGGAAGCTTTTCACCAAGCTACCTGTTCTGTTTTATGTGTTTTAACTATTCACATAATTCAACATACATTAATCCAGAACATTCATTAACTCATTACAATTCAATAAAGAAAGTCATGAACTAATAAATGTGTAGTTATAAATGTAGTTATTTCATAAACTTCAGGTTCATAAAACAAATACTTGAAATACATCCGTACGTTAGATGAACAACAACATTGTCTTACACTCCAGTAACGAACATACGACACAACATACATACAAACATATATGAAAGATAACGGTGTTTGATTTCTTATTCCTCATCTGACATGTAGTAGTCAGAGAGATATTTTTCATTGTTTAAGACATTATTTCGCTCAGTCACTGTCAAATCTCTGTTGCTTGCTTCTGCCATTTCGGTGGCTAGCTGAAGCATGAAATGTCGACATCTCTGCATCAGCATTCTGTTGTTCTCCTTCTTAATTATGCTAACTGCTTTTTCATAGTCACTCACATTTCGTCTAGCCATGTTCAATGAACGATGATGAGGTACTGGTGCCCCAAAGTTACGTAGATTATTATACAATCCTTCATGCTCCGTTACCCTGAACGCCCATTCTGCTCGGATACCAGCATAATAATCCTTCGGACTCGAGTACTTTTCGCTCTTGTAGTCATAGGTAAATGGAGGTAGCAGTCACACTTTCGGATTTCTTTGCCGGCGTGAACTTCCTGCACCTCTTGAAGACATTGTTCATAAAATAAAAAAATTAATAATAATAGTAATTGTAGATATATTACCATTGTTATGACTTCAACAAATATCATACTGGGGTATTTATAGACATCATAGTGGGGGTTAACTAGAGATGATCTGGTGACAATAATGCGTGCTGGGGCACTATGGAATAAGTGATACACGTGATATTATTTTATGTTATTCATTTCATGCAATTTTGAGTACCCGTGACGTTGTGTACTTGTGATGTAGTCACGGACGTGGTTGTCAGATAAAATCATAATTGTAGGCCAGAGAATCACAATGCAATCCCTTCATATTCGAGCAGTGAGTTGTCAAATAAAACAAAATGCAGTGAGTTGTCACATCGCCACATGAAACTATTTTGTCATGCTTACTTTTGTAATACAGTAAGTAGTCACTTGGAATTGACGATTTCAGTACATATAGGTGTTTTAAAAAAATTATAAATGAAATCAAAAAATGTAACAACGGCTTTAATTTTTTTTGTTTTAAAGTAATATTGTTCATAAACAACTATAAAACAGAGTGCAAGTAAATACACAGCCGTCCAACTCACTTCGACCTACAAAATATCGTTGTTTTTTTCACCAAAATAATATAATGGTCACCTGATATGTAAACACGATTGGAACTTTGCAGCCTATGTTTTACCTTATTTTCACTTAATGAACTTCACAGTCATCCCATTTTCATTGTTATTACACAACCGTCTATCATGTTTTTTTCACCAACATAATAGCATTTTCTACTTATTTTCACAGTCGTATTAATGTGACTTAGATGAATTCCGAAATGTGAGGAAAAAATAAAGCATGTAAGTTGCGCTGCAGAAAGTCACATGCATCACGTAATGTGAGGAAAAAAGTCACAACGTATACAAGCATGGCAAAGTCAGAAAGTCACATGTATTACTGCATCACTGCATAAAGTGACATGCATCACTGCATCACTGCACAAAGTCACATGCATCACTGTATCACTGCACAAAGTTAGATGCATCACTGCATTGCTGCACAAAGTCACATACCTACCTACTGTGCCTATTGGAATTATGCAATTCATACAAATTTTAAGGGGGTGTCAGAACAAAATAACAATAAATTAATAAGCATTACAATACACCTAAAAAGTAAAAAAAAAAAATTGTTAAAAAATAACAAATTAATAAATACATAAAAGTAAAAAATATTGTAGAAAAAGTGGTTTGAACAATGGGTAGAAAAATATATTGTAGAAAAATATTGTAATGTGAGGAAAAAATACACTTATTTTAATCATCCCAAACAACCTCTTAATTTTCAACTTCCATTTGAAAGAAGGTAAAGTTACATTTTTACAGTAGCTAGGCTGACACCATCTGCGGCACAACAGCCGATGCTACAGGCCTTTGATTCGTTCATGACTGGACAAAAGTGGAGTCCTGGCAGCTGAATGCACTGTATAAGGTTAGTGGCATGCATGTGATCGAACAGGAAATGCTCATAAATTGGTTGAGACAAAATATTATAATCAATTAAAATATTTTAGTACTTGAAATTGTAAGTATATTTCAATGCAATATTGTAGTCAAAATTGAGGTTGTGTTCAATTATATTTGTCAAATATAATTTTATCCAATTTTACGGGCATGGTGTTTGTTTTGGATTTTTAAATTATAATTTCACATTTATTTTTAAAAAAAAATTTCAGGCAGAGAAATTTGACTAATTCAGACGTTTAGTCGGTTGATCAGCTTGCTTGTTTTTATTTTTCAGAAAATATTTTCCAGAAAATTCTACTTTCTTAATTTGCGTGTTTTTTTTTTATTGAATTTTTTAAAAATTTTAAGTAATTTTTTTACTTTTTAGACACACCTAACATAAATACACTTAAAAAGTAAAAAAATTGTAAACAAAATCTTTTAAAAATTCACTAAATACCAAAAATATTAAAAAAAATACAAACATTCAGTACATTTTCTGTATATTCATGTATTTATTAATTTCTTGAAATATTTTTTCACAAATTTTTTACTTTTTGTTTTCAAATAACAATAAATTATGCAATTTATAAAAGTCGAAGTGACAACTCCTATCAAGTTGTTGCATAGTTGTTCAAGTCATCAAAGTTGACGTGACAACTCTGATGCACAGTTGTCATAGTTGTTTACAGTAATTTCATATATACAGCTACCATGTGTATATATGGTATAAATCTCGCATCATACCACAACTTCTGTTTTACAGCTATTTCGAGCGATATCATCATGAGATATACGGTGGTTGATCTATATTCAGCAATGGGTCACATTGGGTTGCAGCTGGAGATGAATTTCAATACCCATTAAATCCAGATTTGCGTTACTCGCGTGCCACCGTCAATACCATGAGAGCTGAGTGGGAATTTCGCATAACTCGAGCAAACGTTCTCGTTGAGTTATGTCATGAAGTTAATATTAAATTTCCTCGCCGGTTAGCCATGCGTATGCCAACTGACAGTCCACAATTGTTACAAAGGGCATTGCATCGTATCTACGACGAAGTTAATCGCATGACCCAACGTTTGCAAAGGTCCTCACTAATGAAGACCGCAAATGAGCGTGCCGAAGATAGGTTAATGGATGATGCACACCAGTGCTTCGCCTGGAGCATGGATGTTATGTATGAATCTGATATTGAGATGTCAGATGATGATGATAATGAATGAAATTGTTTGGATGAATGACCAAACCATTTATGTTGTAATGAATTTGTAATGCTTATCCATGACTTATCAATGAAGGGAGATATTTCAATTATTTTTAGGCTTGAACAAACATATTTTTTAGGCATGAACAAACATATTTTTTATTTTATGTTTTTATGGGTTGTTTAAACATTTTGTTCAAACCAAACGCGTTTGTAATTTATGTTTTTCTAAAAATAAACAAAAATCAGTTTTTAATTTTTTTGTAAACATAAACAAAAAACGTAAACGTTACCAAACGCTACCTTATTTATTTTTATTTTAGGGTTTAGGATTTATAATTTAATTATTGAAATTTATTTAAACTTGAATTTTATAAATGGTTGTCTCAATTTGTAAAATTGAGAAAAAATTGTAAATTACTATAAATAATGCACAGACTACGGATAATGAGAGAGAGGTAGAGATGTGAAAGAAATTTGTGTGATTCATCAATATTAGTAAGAATAAAAAATTGTGAAATTATAATTGCGAATAAATAAGTATGACACATTTACATCAGCTGTACAAGTTTGATTTACAAAAACTATAACAATTACCACAAAAAAAAAGAAACTATACAGTCCATATCACAAGCGCTAATGCCCTAACCTGCCCCCAGTCCCACAACCCCGACCGTGGACCTCCCTCATCGGTCTCCCGCGGTTGACTCTCTGAATATCTGGCACTCCCTCCCCTGCATGTGGCCCTTCACTGACTGCCTGTGGAGCCTGTGAGTGTGACCCCCCATCTCCTGCATCTGCTACCCCTGATCCTGTCTGTGCCTGCAGATCGGATACTGTTGTGAGCTGTGAAACTCTCTCATCTGGTGCAACTGTATCACGATCTGCAGTTGGACCTCGACCTCTGCCTCTGCTCGTACCCCGACCTCGGCCGCGACGTCCCCTATGACCATAACCTCAGCCTCTCCCTCGCGCTCTGGGGGGGGCTCAATATGGGCCTCATCGTCAACGTGGGAGATGTCAGTGAGAACTGCATCATGTGTACTCATGGGTGCGGTCGAAGTAGTCCCCAAAAAAGCAAGTGGTAACTGGGTAGGTGGGGTAACAACATCATGCATGAACCAGGGCGCGGTCGAAGTACTCCCCAGAAAAATAGGTGGTAACTGGGTGGGTGGGGCAACAAAATCATGCATGAACCGGGGCGGTGTCCAATCAGGGTCAGGGTCAGCATACTGGGTAGGATGTACGTGTGGGGAATTTGGAGAAATGTATGGGGTATCATGCGGTGGGGTGACTGAAGTCTAAGGACCTGCTGTGGCTGGCGCTGAAGTGGGAGGCACTGACGTGGACGGGACTGATGTGTCTGGAGCAGCTGCTGCACTGTGTACACCGTAGTCCTCAAAATGCAAACGATCTACCCGATGTGCATGCTGGATCCCCTCGTACAATAACTCTCGGATCTCTGCAAGGGCCTGCAGACCAAGCTGTCCATTACGTCTGAAAAGGGCGTCCTCAACCAAGTGATATGACCTCCCAACTCGAACCACCTGAACAAAAAATCAAATATATTAGGCTATAGTTGACTGAAAATAATCAATTATGATATTGACAATTATCTGACACATATTATGATACTCACCAATGCCTCGAGAGAAGGCCCAACTCCCTAATATCCGGCCTCAGACAGGTGGCTCGGATTACCGACAAGTAGGTGTGTATGTCGCCGATACCACAACATGTAAGGGTCGGGAGAGGGGAGGACCATCGCTCCAGTCAGCCTGTACAATAGTGTTGCGACGGGCATCCCACAACTGTATGTATCGCATATGATGCACACTCCAGTCAGTGTCGGCTCGGCCACGTCTATCAATCGCATGCAACCGCCATTTGGTGTCACACCGATTCGGCACGGACTGGACCCGACCAAACTGTCGGAAGACACGATCAGGGAGATGCCACTCAACCACGTCAAAACAAATGAGTGGCACTCTCGCCATCTATATCTCCTCACCTAGTCGGCAATAGTCTAGGAGCGTATCGAGGACCTCAGCATAAAGCTGCCAGATAAACTACAATAACGACAAGTCTATTAAAAATCGCTCATGAACATATACAATCAATATGACAATTAAAATTTAGGTATTTAAATTTGATACCTCGCCGTCTATCATCTGGTTAAGCTGGTCTCTATACACGACGACTACGTGGGTCGATACGACCTCGTGGCCCATGTCAACCCTCCACCGGCTACCTCGAGGTCCAGCCAGCAACTGCATGTCTCCCTGGCCGATGGGAACCTCACCAGGAGCAACTAGTTGCCACCTAGACGGGGCAATGCGAATCAATCTCTCCCACGCCCAAATCTGCAATAGTTTGAACGCAATTACAATACTAATATATGCCATACAATATGAATTGACATGTAATAGAATTCTTACTAACCTGTAGCAAGACAAGGGGTCCTCCGATCTGATTCGCACCCACCTGAGCTGCTCGACATAACATCCTATACAAGCATGCCAAAGCTGCGGTACCCCAGCTGTACTGGCCGATCACGTCAATGTCTGTCAATAGTGGCAAGTACATCAGCTTGAGCAGGTTCTGTGACTTATCAGGAAGAAGTACCCCCCCAATAAGCCATAGAATATATGCTCGGGCATGTTGCTGTACTAACTCATCTGGAGCATAATCTGGAAGATGGCCCTGAAACTGCTCGGACAGCCACCTCACTCTCACTCTACCTACCTGTAAGTCTGCAGGTGTAGGTGCTACTCCCAATAGCTCAGCACATAGGGCTATCCACTGCTCTCTCATCAATGATGGGTCAGGTCCAGTAACTGCTCGCCCATTAATCCGTAGACCGTATAGGACAGATACGTCCTGTAATGTGACGGTGGCCTCACCGGTCGGGAAATGAAATGTATGAGTCTCTGTGCGCCACCTCTCGACAAGAGCAGTAATGAGTGGGTGGTCCAGTCTGATATGGCCTATACGATAGACACCATAGAATCCCGCGCGTAATAGACACTGCAAGACTCTATGGTCCAATGGACGCTCCCACAGGCCAGAATCGCCCCGCCGGCATGCCACCACGGTGCGTGCCTGGTCCTGCATAACAGAATGAGTAGTTTAAATTATAGCATTATCACGTAATATAAAACAAAATGCAGGGTATTTTCATTGTAAGCGTAAAGTCCAACAAACGTTATTGCATACCGGGTCCTCCCATATACTGTCAGCCCGATGTGGATGACTCAAAAGTGGGACCTCATCAGGTAGATGTGCCATGAAGCCTGTACAGTTGAAAAACAAATACATTTTTAAAAACTGTATTGGTGAGCATGTAATTTAACTATAACAATTAAACTCAAATTATTCCGTACATGACGACTTGAAAAACAAATGTGGTCGATTATTTTAAAAGTATCAATTTGTGTGCCATTAACATGGAAGCAATCCACTAAAATCTAAATTTTGCATATTATGTGCCATTAAATATGATAAGCAATTCAACAAAACCTATTGTTATCTATGCTATAACTAATATAGAAATCTTTTACAAAATCATTTTAGGGTCTCAGTTACATAAGCTTAATAATGACCTACATGTGGATAGTTTTTGTACATAAATATTTGCCAAAAAATGGAATGAGAATTTTTTTTCCAAAACTTCATTATTGATTTTGGCATATTTGACAAAACTTCATTACATTTGTGGCATATTTGACAAAACTTCATTATTGATTTTGTAATGGTTTTTTTTTCCAATAAAGTATAAAATTTGTAAATTACGTACATCTGATTCATAAATTGTAAATGTAAAAAATGCTTGCATCAGTTGAAATATTAAAATCTTAAAATGGTAGAAGAACTATGTGACTTTAACTAAAATTTTGTAATAGACATTTTCAATCAAGTAGAGAATAAAAAATATAGGCCTATGTGGTATAGTTAAATGTTTTTGTATTGTCATTTAGTTTAATTTATTTGTTTAGTATGTTAGTTGTAAATTTTGTCAAGGAAATCAAACAATTACAATATATAAAGAATTACAAAATAGAAATAATCTATTACAAATAAAAAATTATCTATTTAAATGTACGACCCCGTTTACAAATAATGAATTACAAAAGAAAATAAAATGATCTATTACAAATAAAGAATTAAAAAATGATCTATTACAATATGTAAATATTACATAGTCTTCATCGACTAAGTCGCGCCGGACATGTTCGCCTATCATGACCTGTCTGCTGGCACTCACTGCAACGAGCAGTCAAACGCCTATCTGATATGTCCATCTCATTCGGAATACAAGACATAGATGCACGACCCCGTTTTACTTCTCGCAGACGTAGTACATTAGGCATTAAGGTCCACTGTGGATCAGCCCAATAATCTTGATGCGGTATTGGATTGAATTTAGTTTCCCAAACCCTGATGTATACAGGAAGCCTATATACTAGATCAACGTACTCGAATGGATTGTCACCGCATTCAGACATTACAGCGAGCATATGAGAACATGGATAGTGTCGTATCTCATATTTTCCACAACTGCACGTGGGTTAATTCGTCCGCATAATTTGTGTATTGCGACCTCGTCCATGGCGAAAAGATGTTTTCACCTCAAACACGCGGCGTGGCCTATCAGAAAATTGTAATAGAAACTAATCAAGTTCATGTTTTTAGGTGTACTTAACTTGACAACATAATAATAACAATTTAGATTATATTACAAACTAACCTGTCATATGATATCAACTTGAAAGTATTTGCCCTTGCGATGCCATCCTCAATAGTTTTTTGCATCTCTCTAGGGTATTGGAACTCATTTCGTACATCTATTTCAGCTTGGGCTCCCATCTCGTCAAAATATTTAACGAGCCGCCGAAATGTAAATTCAACCATAGCTGAGATAGGTAAGTTCCTTGCACCTTTCAAGACGCTATGGAAGCACTCTGCATGATTGCTGATCAACACCCCCCATCGACGTCCACCGTCATACGAAAGGGCCCACTCTTCAGGATTCATCTTGTAAACCCAATTGATGGCTTCTTGGTCAATAGCTTGTATTTGTTGTAAGTAACCATTACACTTTCGTCGTTGATGAGCACTCCCTGATTTCCATAGAAGTTGTTTCAGCTCCTTATTTTTGAACTTAGTGTTAAAGTTATTACAAACATGTTGAAGGTAGTGCCGATGATATCCAACAAATTGGAGCGAGAGATTCAGCCAATGCCGCCTCACAGCAGCTAAAATACTCTCAGCTCAATTAGATATCAAAGTCACTCCCTGACGATCCATGACAATATGTTCCTTGATATTTGAAATGAAGAACGACCAAGACTCCAAACTCTCCCTGTCGACAACAGCGAATGCAAGCGGTAATACTTTGCCATTGGCAGTGACAATCGTTGCTACAAGCAACACACCAGTGTATTTCCCGTATAAGAATGTACCATCTATGGTTATAACAGGCCTACAATGTCTGAATCCATCGATGACGGGTTTGAAAGACCAAAAAACAAAGTGGAAGACGGGCATAATGGTTGTATTTCCGGTATATCTATGCTTCCATTGCACGATGGTGCCAGGATTAGATGTTTGTAATGCATGCATGAATTTAGGCAACAACCTATATGATTCATCCCAATCCTCGAATACCATTCTAATTGCCTTTGCCCTTGCATGCCACGCCTTCTTGTATGATATACTATAGTTCATGGCCTTTTTGATATCTTCGATGACATTCTTAATTGGCATATCAGGTTCATTCTGCATACGACAATACCTATGAGTCAGATTATTTTGGTGTGAACACTAAAAACAAACAAATATGTATATATATGTAAACATTTATTTTGTATACTCACCGCAACTTGTCCTAAAAGATGAGAAGCAATGTAACTGGAGCTAATATTAGTGTGGTCCCTGTTCATTTGTGGGTATAAACAATGGTGAGGACCCCAATACTGCTTTATTTCAAAAACATGTTTCCTACTAAGAGATGCACGCAACCACTAGCTGCAATCGTGCTTGTAAGCACACACCCAAACGTCTCGCTTGGAGGTTACGACTTTATACTCTCGATTATTTGTTGCATGGTACAATTTCACAGCATGTACGAGTTGTTTCTTATCAACGAAAACCATCCCTTTGCCCAACTCTGGATTTTCAGCGTTTCAGATTCGGTTACGGGGAATGACATCGCGGTTACTAATGTCAAAATCACCACCCATGTGGATGTTTTCATAGAAAGGGATTTCAGGTCTAGGTGGAATGGGGGCATTGTCAAGGTCAACGGGAGCGTCGGCATCATCTTCTTCATCATCATCATCTGATCCGCCCAATAAATTTTCTTCATCACACATTTCATTCTCATCATTGTCTAGGGCGACATAAGGACTGTACATGTCACTGTTAGCAAACTGCACATAATTCACCGTTTCAGCCATATTACCAGCAACTTCAACTGGAATGGTATGATGGACAACTACCAACATCCATTCTGTGTTATTGTGAAATTCAGTCTCATATCCACCACGTGAACTTGATTCTTATTCTCCACCGATGGCCATGAAATGTCTGTTATGTGTTAACCAGCATATGCATACATTTTTTGAATTCATACATTAGGAGACTGAAACGCTGTCGTGTTCAATCCCTACGTGTCAGCAATGTAATGAAACGGATGAGAATCCATGCCTGTGTTATAATTCGGAAGATTGTGTCCAACCTCTGTTCTGCCAATGTACACTTCCAAACAATCTAAGTGGTTGGAAACTTCCACCGGATACTTAATTGACGGTGTTTGATGCTACATCGTCATTAGATCAAGTAATGTATTTTGTTATTGCGTAGTTACTTGCCATGGCGATAGAGGAT